GAGAGGTGGAGGAGCGCCTCTTTCATCTTCTTTCTCTCTCTCTCTCCCCCTTACTCTATGTCTCTATCTCTTTATCTCTCTTTCTCTTCCTTTGAGCATTCTACTTTTTCAGGAAACTCTCTTGCATCAAAATATAATAAAACGTTTCTATTCGAAAGCATCAATACACATCATCACACGTGAAATATGAAAATCCTATTTTCGATTTTGTCACTTTGTCCCTTTTATTACCTCGAACTTATGACAAATATTAATATATTATTCTACAACTATTAAAGTCTTCGTTTATATCTCTCAGTGGAAATTGTAAAAAAAATCCTTGATCAATGTGAACCAAAAACAAATCGGTTTGACATGAAAAACAATGTATCAGATTTAATTGAAATGAATTCAAGTGAAGTCTACACCGCGTTCATCAAGCTTTAAATCGTATTCGTTTGATCTCTGTATATGAATAGAATATCACAAAACAATGGAAATATCGATGCGCCGAAGGTTATCCAAGCGATTGATAGAGCGGATAGGAGTGATTCGTGTAGGTCCGATCCTTTGTTTCTAGACAGTTCGGAGCAGATAGCTTCGAAAGCGGCGGCCTCTCGAGACAAGTAGTACCCTCGACATGGTAACGGCCTGGTAACTGCCTCGTAAGCCGTCTAACGGAGCACCGACTATCCCTAATGTCCGATTCCTGCACGGTGGTTACGATCGTCCTGCCGGAATGGCCTCTTCATCAAGGATCACACGCCTAAATCCTCCAATGTAGACTGAAAACCCCCTTCTCTCTTTCTCTCTCTCTCTCTCCCCCTTTCTCTCTCTCTCTCTCTCATTCACTCACTCACTCACTCTTAACTAGACCGAGGTCGCGAAAAGTTAGCGATCAAACAGGAGGACATAAACTCATATCAGCGATAGCATCGAATAGTGCTTTGTACGATCGCAGGAAATTCAATGAGAATCAAAGAGAGATCAAGAGAAGAGAGATCAATGACGATCGATTCTAGCAGAGTGACGATACGTCGATGATGAAGGAAACTAGTACGTCCTCCGAAGTCGATGATGCTATTGGTTGTATCGATGATACTCAAGAGTTGGATACCGCAATTGGATAATTGGTTTTTGATCTTTGGATAACTTAAACGTTGTGATCGTTCACAATAACCAGATCCAGTCTCTCTCTCTCTCTCTCTCTCTCTCTCTCTCTCTCTATTTATCTTTTTGTCTGTTTTTCAGTCTCTGCCTTTTCTCACTCCTTTCTCCCTTTTTCTCTTTCCCCCTTTATTTATCTATTTGTCTACCTCCTTCCATCTTTTCTCTCTTTTCCTCTCTCTCTCTCTCTCTCTCTCTCTCTCTCTCTCTCTATCTGTCTGTCTACCTATCTATCTATCTACCTAGCTAGCTAGCTATCTACCTTCCTATAACTGATGGTCCGAGGCCGCAATGACGGTGCACCGCACACTGATGATGAGCACCGATGCTTCTTGCCGGGATTTCCAGGCAACGGCTTCGCCGATAATGCCGTTCTCCTGTTTCTCTTCCGCTTCAGTGAAGGGTGTATTGCATTGGAGGCTATCCCATTACGGGACCACCGGCTTCAGTGTTCGATGTTATCCCGACGAGAAGGATAACCCCCGACTCCAAATAGATAGCTCCGCGATTACGATTTCCCGATTAATTTGCATTTCTAACTCGAACGATCGAACACATAGCTAGGTATATATTCTCTCCCTCTCTCTCTCTCTCTCTCTCTCACACACAGACACACACACATACACACCACACACACACTTTGGTTAATGCTCTCAACTTACGCTTTTATATATTCTACATATTTATTCTCTCATTATTTATTTAAGAAATGATCTTTGGATATCTTCAGACAATTGTTACCATTTAATCAGAATAAAAGACACTAACGAACAATCAAACAAATTTAATTGTTCAGAATCGAGCTTATCACAACTAACAATTTTTTCGGTTTTCTGCGACAGGAAAACTCTGATCGTCGTGATGTTGAAGTTTCGTATGAGGATACAATGCAAGAGCACTCACAAGAGATCTAGACACGATCGTTAGGATATACACTTGTCCAGAAAAGAAGACTCTCAAAAGATCTGACGAGCTCCTCTCTATGGGTGGGATTTATGTTCGTCTGTTACATTTTCACAAGAGAAAACGATAAGTAGCGAAAAAGAGAAAAAGAGAGGGGAAACGGATTGGCTTGATAAAGAAAAAAGTATGTTTCGTAGGAGGCGTCGAATTTACAATCATTAAAATGATATTTCCTGAATCGGTGTCAGAAGCATGCAATATCATTCGAATTGGTTTATTCAATGCAGAAGATTGTGCGTGTGCGTAGACGAGTTCGTCGAACGAGATAGGGGTTCGAAACAGTCCTGACCAGGATTTCCCTTGCAAGAAGAGAAAGGACAGAAGAGGAACGTCCGTCCATTGAAAAGCGAACAAACTGGTCGATCTTTTGTTGAACACAATGCCGGGGCTTACGAACGTCCAATATTTTCCGTCAACAGGCTGCACGCGTTCATCTCGTTATAAAGTTTGTTTGATAGGTAAACATCGGACTCTGGTGATGTGCAAGTCCAAAGTTTGAGAAACCGAGGGGATCGGTGCAATGATGCAACTGAGCCATTTCGACGATAAAAAAAAATGTATGCTAATATAATCGTCTATCGAAATTGGCATCGACACGACAGACTCGAATATAATTCGTTGATCAGATTAATATTTTTCGTAAGTTATTTCTGAAATTCTTATTTAACAACTTTAGCTATCTAATCGATGAAATTAAAACAGGTTGTAAAAGAAGTGAAAGGAATTTTGTTTTTCTAAGATTTACAAATATTCTACTTGAATATTCTCAAATGAAATTACAGACGAATAAAAGTATCATGATCGTAGATGTAAAAATTTTTTTATCTTCGATACTTACTTCTCAAACGATAATTACTAATTATCTCGTGATTGAAAAGATCAGATATTAAATCGAAAAGCGAGAAGGATTGAAAGTTATCATAATTGAAAAGTAATAAACGAAAAGAAAAAGAAAAAAATGAAGAAGGATTCGTAGTGCGTTCATCGATTTGTAGACGAATTCGACCTTCGTAGTTAGAAAAGGGTGCGAAAGAGTTGGCTATGGCACACCAGTCGCGTAAGCGATGTGTCTAAGGCGTCTTCGAGATATTATCAAGGCCGTCGGCAATCTCGGTAGTCTGCATCTGTGCCCAATATTGCATGGTAGAAACCTTGGGAGCCACCCTTGTGTCTGCTTTCCTATGACGACGAAGACGACCTACACGCTCACCTACACCCATTGGTAGCACGTACGAAGTGAGAGAGTGCCTATGACAAACGTTGCCATCTAAACAAAGGACCTCGCGGAGCAGTACGCGCGTACCGCAGACACGCAATTTCCGCGCGGCATGTAAATCGCTCGAAATGAATTTCTGCCAATCACGCACGTGCCTACTCTTTCTCTCTCTCTCTCTCTCTCTCTCTCTCTCTCTGTTTCTCACTTTCTCGACTTGAACGATTGCTAGGGATCCCTTTTGGTGTCATATGTTGAACTAAATGAGAGAAATCCCGAATGAAAGTAATAGTCTGTCAAAATACTGAACACGTGATGCTTATAATTACTTGCTCTTAAATAAAATCGATTTTTATTTTTCTTACATTTGTATGTTGTATCGAAATCAAAGATGTAATAAATAATATCGATAATATAAATAATATCAGTATTAAAATATCGATTTTATAGAAAAAGTGACTCGTCTATCATTCGAAACTCTCCACCATATTTAAATAGTATTATCTGTCTATGAATGGTGTATCGATAATGCGGAATACTTGTATGTGCTTAGTTTTTTTAATCGTGCGAGCGTGAACGATGCAAATGATTTACGAGTGAAAAGTGCATGTAGATATTTTCTTCCATTCTATTCATGTTACGCTTTGTCCCAATTCCGTATCAATTGATAATACGAATATATTGAAAGGGTTTTGTGGTTGTAACAAATGATTGTGAATGGAGAAACATTGAAGATTAGATTTTCAAAAGAATACAATCGATTGTGAACATCGTTATAAAGATTGTTATCAATGTATCCGATTTTTTCGAAAGTTCACCACTGATTTTGTTTTCGGATTGGAAAGATTTTCACTTGATTCATCGAAAGGAAATTCAAGAAACAAGATTCAGTCGATGGAATCTCGCGTGTCTGGACGTAGAATAATGAAAGTCTGAATCGTCGGTGGCTGATAGTCGAGGTTGTCACGGGATAAAGCCAGAATAGTTTCCTTCGTCGCTTAACGAACGCCTGGATAAATAGCTTCTTCGTGAAAAAGCATGAGCACTTTCGCACGAATTGGCTGAATTCCAACCTCGAAGCTAGGGGTAGACACGACGAGAATGAGAACGATGAGAAGGAGAAAAAGGTTCGCTTTCTTCGTTGTTACGTATAAGGGAGTTCCTTCCTTCACTTTTCCTCGGTTGATGCATCGTCGAAGCGAATAAATGGTTTGCTTCTGTCGGCAGATGGAAGATCTGAGGAATAGTTGAGAGTTCGGCTCGATGGGCGTCTTTTGCTTTGCTTAAAGTCCCGCGAAACTTTGCGAAGGAGACTTCAACTGTGAGAAGCCGTACAAAATGAATGAAGAAAGCCAACGGTGTGTAGGAAATATTATACAAGGGGATGATTTCGGCATGAAATCGCTCAAGATCTGTCTACACATGTTCTCGCAGATTCTTGGATTCTTACGCGATAGTCGAAGTTTTCTGAAAAATTTTCCTCGACTGTTAGATTCAACCAGCTTGCAATTTTTTTTTCTTTTGCGAGAGGAATCTTCGAAAACAAAACTTTTTCGTAACATCCCAATATTTTTATACATATGTATAGTGTTATTTCGGCTACTTTGATTTCTTCCAACTGAATTTTTTATTGCAATAAACTATTATTTCAGTTGATGGTGTAATAATTGTGATATGATTCCTTTTTTGCTCACTAACTATATTTTAAATAAATACAATTAAATTTTTGATATCTAAATTGTTAATGGTTTGAAACACCATTGAATAGGATTGAATAACATCATGTAGATCGATAAATTAACAATAGCATAGGCAGCGATTTGGTCCAATAGGATAAGGTATGGGTAAACGTGGATGAGGTAGACGTGGAGGAGATATAGGTGGAAGAGGTAGACGTGGAGGAAGAATGGGTCCGGTGCTTACACCTCCACCTACTCCTACGCCTATTGCTCCACTCGAACCTGCTCCAGAACTTGCTCCTGCACCTGAATCTGGTCCTGAGCCTGCTCCTGCGCCTGCTCCTGCACCTGAATCTGGTCCTGAGCCTGCTCCTGCGCCTGCTCCTGCACCTGAATCTGGTCCTGAGCCTGCTCCTGCGCCTGCTCCTGCACCTGAATTTGGTCCTGAGCCTGCTCCAGCGCCTGCTCCTGCACCTGAATCTGGTCCTGAGCCTGCGCCTGCGCCTGCGCCTGCTCCTCCATTCGAACCTGCTCCTGCACCTGCTCCTGCGCCGGATCCACCGCTTGGTTGTTCAGAACTGGGTTGTTCAGAACTGGGTTGTTCAGAACTGGGAGAACTAGATGAGGGAGAGCTGCTAGGTGTTTGAGATGGTTGTTCAGAACTGGGAGAGCTGCTAGATCCATCACATGGTTGTTCAGAGCTGGAAGTTGTTCCAGTTGGTTGTTCAGATGATGTTGATCCTACACCTGCTCCTGCGCCTGCTCCTGCGCCTGCTCCTGCGCCGCCTGCTCCTGCGCCTGCTCCTGCGCCTGCTCCTCCATTCGAACCTGCTCCTGCACCTGCTCCTGCGCCTGCTCCTCCATTAGAACCTGCTCCTGCACCTGCTCCTGCACCAGATCCACCGCTTGGTTGTTCAGAAGTGGGAGAACTAGGTGAGACAGAGCTGCTAGGTGTTTGAGTTGGTTGTTCAGAACTGGGAGAACTAGATGAGGGAGAGCTGCTAGGTGTTTGAGTTGGTTGTTCAGAACTGGGAGAACTAGATGAGGGAGAGCTGCTAGGTGTTTGAGTTGGTTGTTCAGAACTGGGAGAACTGCTAGATCCATCACATGGTTGTTCAGAGCTGGAAGTTGTTTCAGTTGGTTGTTCAGATGATGATCCTGCGCCTGCTCCTGCGCCTGCTCCTGCGCCGGCTCCTCCATTCGAACCTGCTCCTGCACCTGCTCCTGCACCGGCTCCTCCATTCGCACCTACTCCTGCACCAGCTCCTGCGCCGGATCCTCCATTCGAACCTGCTCCTGCACCTGCTCCTGCGCCGGCTCCTCCATTCGCACCTACTCCTGCACCAGCTCCTGCGCCGGATCCTCCATTCGAACCTGCTCCTGCACCTGCTCCTGCGCCGGCTCCTCCATTCGCACCTACTCCTGCACCAGCTCCTGCGCCGGATCCTCCATTCGAACCTGCTCCTGCACCTGCTCCTGCGCCGGCTCCTCCATTCGCACCTACTCCTGCACCTGCTCCTGCGCCGGATCCTCCATTCGAACCTGCTCCTGCACCTGCTCCTGCGCCGGCTCCTCCATTTACACCTACTCCTGCACCAGCTCCTGCGCCGGATCCTCCATTCGAACCTGCTCCTGCACCTGCTCCTGCGCCGGCTCCTCCATTCGCACCTACTCCTGCACCTGCTCCTGCACCGGATCCACCGCTTGGTTGTTCAGAAGTGGGAGAACTAGGTGAGGCAGAGCTGCTAGATTCTTCACATGGTTGTTCAGAGCTTGAAGTTGGTGGTTGTTCAGATGGTACTGATCCTACTCCTACTCCTCCACTTACTCCTCCACTTACTCCTCCACTTACTCCTCCACTTACTCCACTTACTCCTCCACTTACTCCTCCACTTACTCCTACTCCTAGTCCTCCTCCTAGTCCTCCTAATCCTACTCCTATTCCTACTCCTAGTCCTCCTGATCCTCCTGCTCCTGCTCCTGCTCCTGCTCCTCCTGCTCCTCCTGCTCCTGCTCCTGCTCCTGCTCCTGCTGCTCCTCCTGCTCCTGCTCCTGCTCCTGCTGCTCCTCCTGCTCCTGCTGCTCCTCCTGCTCCTGCTGCTCCTCCTGCTCCTCCTGTTACTCCTGCTCCTCCTGTTACTCCTGCTCCTCCTGCTACTCCTCCTGATCCTGCTGCTCCTCCTGCTACTACTCCTGTTGCTCCTCCTGCTACTACTCCTGCTCCTGCTCCTTTTCCTCCTACTCCTAATCCTAGTCCTCCTCCTAATCCTAGTCCTCCTCCTATTATTATTCCTCCAGCTCCTCCATTTTTACCCACCTGTCATATAATAATTTTAATGATAAAAGTGCTTTTTCATAGACTAGTAATAAAGCATTCGATGATAATTTTTTCATAATTATAAAATCTTACCGTATAAGCTGTGGTAGAAACCACAAGGTAGAGTAGAGAGAACGCTATTGCCTTCATGGTTGTTTTGCTGCTTCTTATTCCACTTTCGAATGTTGAGAATTCGTGCGAGATATTTATACATAGTTTATGAATAGAAATCAATTTATTATTCAATTGACAAGTGTTAATAATGTAGTACCATATGTTATGTCAATAACGATGGTACTCGCATGAAATGTAAATAATAACTTTATTTGTAGTGACAGAAATAATGATCTTTTCCGCATACTTAGGTATAGCATTGAATAATATCTGTCACTTTTATTACTTTTTTTATATATATGGTAATTTTAATACAATTATTGTATTTCTTTAATAATTGTATTATTTAAATACAATTACTTTATTTTATGCAAATTTTTTTGATTCTATTCTTTGAGATAAACTTTCATGTAATTGAATATAATAAAATAGTTATTTAACTTCTATATAATTTGTATTTAACGATTGCATCAAAGAACATTTTTCATAACGCGATATCATTGTTAGTTTAATACATAACATGAATGTGCAAACATGACTTCGTAATAATTGCGAAACAAGTATTTTTAAAAGTCGATTATTGTCCAATGATCGATCGTTATATTCATAATAAATTACTTCTTATTCATGAGAAGGGTATATATACTACGATCGATGTAGTATAGTAGGATTAGAATACAAGACTAGCAATCATGCAGTTAACCGTAATATGTCTATTTGGCGTTGTGGCCTGTGCCTCAGCACAATTTGATTTTGGTTTCAACTTGGAAAAGGGTTTTAGCTTCTCTTTCTTTCCTTTCGGGGTAAGTTTGTATCATCAGGTAATATGAACTTTATAAAATGAAAATAAAAGTTACTTGTTTTTAAGATTACTTTTATTTATATTGTCTTATTATATTATATTATTTCAGTTAGAAGTTAATAAAAATATCTCAGTTGGCGCTGGTGTTGGCAATCGAGTAAGACGGCAGCTTTCACCAATTCGCGTCGGTGGTCCTCCTCAAGCAGGAGCGAGATTCGAATTCAATATAGGTGTTCAACCAAACGGACTAATTTTTCCAAATTTACTACCGGATAGATCTAGACCAGGCAAACCTAATCCATCCGAACCTAAACCAGATGGACCTGAATCAAGTGGACCTAAATCAATTGGACCTGGGTCAGCAGGACGTAGACCACTCATACCATTCCCAGGAAATCATCGAATTTCACCACTATTTCCGATTATTCCGCCTCTTCATCTCAAACTTCACCATAGACCTCATCATAGATCTCATCATAGACTCCATCAAAAATCATCGACTTCTACCAATCAACCTAGTACGAATGTAGTATCACAAAGTGCTGGAACTGTTACAGCATCATCCGACAGTACTAAGATCAAGTCAACAACGGATAATACTTCTACTAAAACTAGCTCTCGAGCTACTATTGCACCTTCCTCTGCATCTACTGATGAATCTACTGATGAATCTACTATTGAATCTACCACTGTATCTTCTAGTAAATCTACTACTGCATCCACCACTGAATCTACCGCTGCATCTGCTACTGAAAAAACTAATAAATCATCTATTGCATCTACCACTGAATCTACTACTGAATCTACTACTGAATCTACCACTGAATCTACTACTGAATCTATCACTGAATCTACTACTGAATCTACCACTGAATCTACTACTGAATCTACAACTGCATCATCCATTGAATCTTCTAATGATGCATCTACAACTGAAGCTACTAGTGAGTCTACAACTGTATCTGCATCTACCAGTTCATCTGTAAATTCTACGTAATATAACATTATATATTTACCGCTTATTCTGATAGCTATCTTCCATAATTCACAAAAAAAAAAAAGAAAAAAAACATTTAGTCTAACCAGTATTATGATGAACAATTGGAATGTAACTAGAGATTTTATATATATTTCTAAAACTGTAGTATTTCAAGGATTGCTATTAAATACTTAATAATGCTTTTTGTGTGAATAAAAAGGATACGTATGTAGTAAAAGACTTGTTTTAGAATTCAATAATATCGATTACAGGAGCATCGTCATCTTTTCAACGATATTTTTTCGTTATAATTTACTTGCATATCTCGCCGATCAAATCCTCTTGAATATCCTCTACGATCTGTCTTCCACTCATAAAACTGTCATCTCGTGCGTGTATAAAACATGAGATTGCCATACCACCTAGGAGATAGATAGAGAAAGAGAGTGTAAAAAAAAAGATGTAAGATGTAAGAAACGAAGACACTCTCCCCCTCTCTCTCTCTCTCTCTCTCTCTCTCTGTGTCACCCTTTTCTAGTTTCTCGATGCCTACGCTCGTCGAAAATAAGTCGTGCCTGCAGGAGCTGTGTTTCCATGTATTGGGAAGGGTAGCTAAAGGAAGAAGAGATCGCGGAGAAGGAAAAAGGGTCGCTCGAACGCGATATTTCCACCTTAGCGCCTCGACTGTGCACGCTAAAATACATTTTCCTACGAAGTGTCGTCATAGGAGGGCCTCCAGCTGCTGGTCTTGATATTCCACATGCGTAATGCTCACGCGGATATTTCCATACATAAATTTTATCCGTAGGAAAGTAGGTGCACGTCGACAACGACGACAATGACAACGATGACGACGTCTTCGGAACGTGCGCGAGAAACTAGCACGTAGGTTATCTTTTTTGACATAACACGATCTTTCATTAAGATTTTGTCTCGTATGAGCGAACGATAAGATATCGATATCAATACGAATTGGTGCATTCGTTTAGATTTATGAAATAAATTTAGATAATTAACACTTCTATTTTATAATTACGTTAAACACTTTACGGGAATTGTATAATTCTTTTGAATTGTAATTCTGGCAATATCGTCAGATTATATCAATACGAAAAACTTGATCATTTATCAATGGATCTTCAATGTTTTTTTTTTTTTTTAATATCAAAGATTTCTCGCTTCTTTTCTCTCGCTCATTTCTTTTTATTTTTCGAAGTAATCGACATTTATATTAAATATCAAGAAGAAGGAAGATACGTGATAGATTTTTTCAATCATCAAATCAATTGTTGTTAAAGAGAAACGAGTTTTTGTATTTCTTCAAACTATTTTATCTCAATTTATTGTGCTGAATTAAAAATATCTAATGTCATAGAAAAGTTCTGGTTAATACTTCCGCGAGATTTTTGCTTTCGATTTATTATTATAGAATTAATATCAAATAGCGCGGTCTACGATCTTTTCTCTCAGTTTAGTCCAGATGATCTCTCTCCCTCTCCCTCTCCCTCTCTCTCTCTCCGTGATTCACAATTCATGGATCGATAAAAATGTCGTAAATACTTCTATGTACTGTACGAGTACATTCGGAGTAGTCACCCTGGCACTATCTATTTGACATGGAAACGTTTGTTCGTCTGTATAATCTAATTCTCTGCGATTAAATGCAACGTTCGCGATAATGCTTGTAAATTGAGCGAATTATGCTACTGGTCTAGCCATTCGGTGCAACCTCGACCGATTTACATGAGCATTACGCTAAGGCCTTACCGCCCTATCCTGACATTTACATTAGAACGTGTCGCACGACCTGAAATCCAACACCTGAGAGTTGAACTATTTCGATTTAAGCGATAAAAAGAGAGCTTTAACTTTTCCAAGAATATATATGCACTTATACATGCATATACGCGGCGTAGATTTTAAAAGAACTTTTTAAACTTCCTACGCATCCTTTATAAGACGAAATTAAAAAGAGAAATCTTAATAAATAAATATTGCTAATTTTTTTTTCCTTTTCGAAAGGATCGAATATTTAAATTAATATAATTCATGATATGAATTAATATTGACTTGATTACGATGTAAAAGTATACTTTAATATTTCGAATTTCTAAGATATTTATTAAGATATTTATTTGTTCATTTTTAAATAATTTGATATAAAACGTATATATAAATACCTTTTAAATTTTATTTCGTATTAATATATCAAAAGGAAAAAGTCGAATATATCGATCGTTTCGAAACCAGTAAGCGATAGAAATGGAAACGGTTTTAAAGTCTCAACGGGGTCTCCGAACGGGTACGTTATTCATCGTGGCTCTTATACCACTTCCCTAGGGCGTTCCATCTGCTTCCGCCTTCAATTTCCTGCGCGTCATTACCGACGCTGATAAGCTCTCGACCATATGAAATCTCAAGCTTCTCTTGGCTTACTATCGAGGAAGAAACCCAATGCTTGCTTAGATGTCGTCGAGGCTTCTGCTCCCGACAGGCCACGGTTTTCCTTTTCCGTTTCACCAATACCAACCATATCTTGACTCGACGATTCCGCATGACGGAATAACAGTTCCTCTGTTACATGTCATAGAAAACTGGCAACATTGGTGTCCCTTCTCCGCACGAAGTCCTAACCTAAGTCCTTGATATCACTAATTCTAGTGTAAGTGCGAATACATGTGTTGGGATGGACGATGGTACGAGGGTGGTTTGACACGCAAAGGTGGAAAGGAGGGCTCGAAGAGCACCGCGAAGGTCGGACACCACGTAAATTGCATACCCGATTGCGGTCTACTGAAGAGTGCCGCCCTCCAACGGCTAACCCCCTCCTCGGATGGCCGCCAACCCCAAACTGGATCTAACAAGCCAGCGACCACAGGCTAGCTCTAGCTTGCAACAAGGCTGCCGCTACCTCCCTTGGGTACTGCCGACGGGTACAGTTCCCCAAACCATGACTCTCCTCTCTTACTCTAACTGTATATCTCCGAGCTATTCGAACACCTTCGAAGCTCATCCTCCTCGATCTGGACGTCCTAACAAGCCCGCTTACTTTCTATTTTCTCTCTGTTGAGCTCGGACGTTTCGAGAAAAAGTTCCCTTTAAATTGGACGACACTCGCCTCGACTCCTTGGCCCTTCCTTTCACCGAACGTACGATAAAATCGAAGAATTCTTGGAGTGCATAGTACTAGTAGTACTAGTTGTAACAGTAGTAGTAGTAGTAATAGTAGTACTGGTAGTACTAGTAATAGTAATA